CTTACTCGAAGATGTGATGTTGGGTGTTATTTGAAAGCAGATGAATGTGCATCCTTAATTTTCCTCCCCTGGGAAGGTCATAGTGTCTCTGAGGTGAATAACAAACACTGTCAGTGTATGGTCAGCAGATGCTTTCTTCACTGAGACTGCAGATAACAGTGAACTGCGCCATCACTGACTGTTGTGGCTGTTCTTTTGCTTTACTTATTTCCCCCTTCATTGTGAATATCGGTTAATGTGTTTTTCATCTTTCAGCAGCTGGTGCCTCTCTGGGCAGGGACAGACTATCTTAGAGGATAAAAATGGGGACAGATTCAACTTGCATTGCTAACGTCTCAGCCTTCTCATTTTTTAGTGTCTTTGCCACAGTACCTACCCAGGCAGGCTGCAAGGGAAACTCTGACTGATGTGGGCAAAAAGGGTTGCATGCTGGTTGGTGAGGAGCTGTAGCAGTTCACAGGGCACGATACCCCTAGTACTGGATTTTGATGTAATTATCCAATTTAAGCATCCAGGTGAAGATTATGTCATAAATTGACCACTACCATAATGATTCGTTTTAATTGACTCTGGGGCTATTCTTATTTTCTTGGGGGGTGGGGTAGGATGTTGTTACATTTTTAGCTTCCCAAATCAGTAGTCTTCTTATTAAACATCTGCATATTCTGTATTGCTCTTGTAAGTCATCAATAAGGCAGAGAGGTTTAATGAAGGAAGGAGAAATTACTGAACAGAGGAAATAGACAACTGCATGCTACAGACATTGGCAGAAAATAGGCTTTGCATTGTGCTAACCACAGCAGGAACAGTGGCTGTGCGTGTTGTGGAGGCAGAAATGTTGAGCTTCTCTCTGCTGTAGCATTAGACTGCCTTTGGATATGGCATGAGTGTGCGTGTATGTGTGTGGCAGGCCTGTGTCACAGGCATTGTCACCAGGCTGACCTTGTCTCATGGGAAATGATATTTAGCCTACTTTTGTCCCAGACTTTACACTGGCCAGGTTCAGTCTTGGAGCAGAAAAGGGGTAAATGTGCTGCTTGCATTGATGACTGGCATGTTAGAAGAGCATTTCCTCTTCATCTTTATATTAAACCATTCCCCAGTAGCTGACAAGGGCCAGTGTGGAGGTTTGATTTGCTGAGATGGGCAATTACTGCCTGCTTTTGAGAGAGCATAGAGGGACTCTAATAGCTGCAGGAAGCCAATAGCTCTTCACAAAACACCCTTGATGCTCTGGACTGAACTGTTGTTGGTAACAATGCTAATTTCATCTCTTGGGGGAAAAGTTAATTTTCATATAGGATCAGAATATTTTTAGGAGAAAAATGAAGATTTTCTTTTTTTCGGCTCCTGTCTCACTGCCACAGATACCAATAGAGAAGAGACAGCTCCAGTCCTTCAGTGAGTGTTTCCAAGACCAGAGTAAAAGAAGATAGATGTCATGATTATGTTTAGTCTTTTGATGGTCTTAGATCTCTCATATATTGTGATTCTTCCTGTAGTACAGTGCATTTTATTACAGCACCTGCTATGAAGGAGCTTTAGTACATGTCAAAACCAGTGGGATTTCAGCCTCAGCACTATAGGAAGGCAGCAACAGTAAACTTCTTGTCCAAAATTACACGTGCTGTAAAGAAAACACTGTCCTGTAGTTGTCCTGACTCTCAGTACAGAACCAGTCCCAGACTTTGTAGATTTAAGTGCTTCTCTCATCACAGGTTTTGTGAACTGTTGAGTCTCCCAAAAGTACAACATACAATTTGTACCCTCCCTGCCACGTGCCACATGTTACGGGCATGTTTGATCTACTTGAGAAACTGTTAAGAAGTGCTAGGCAATCACTCTTACCAGAGCCATCCAGTGCTAGTGCCTTCTGGTTTCACTGCATCACCTCTTATTTCCTTCTTGAGGTTTTAACTATCCTCAGAACTTTATTTAGGTGTATCCTGACAGCAGGATTTCTTATATTGAAGAGTTCTCTTCAGAAAAAAAAACACAACACATCACTAGTGCATCAAGTACTTGAAAAGAGCTATTTTCATTTAAACCCCTTAAATTTTATTAACTGGTTCAAGGTGACTTACATTATATTGATAGGAACAGAAATGAATATGTAAAATATATCCGCCAGATGTTAGCATATAGAAATAAATGTTTTGTAGTGGTGAGAATTGGTCCCTGAGTCTGAGATCAGAGTTTTATTTCTGTCTCCATCAGAACTACTGTGAACTTCAGTAGATCAATGAGTTGAATTGGTTTGATTAAATAGAATAGGATTTATGTGTCTGAGTTGTGTTTTTTCCTAGGCAAGAATTTAGAGTTGTTTTTCTTACATTTTTCTGTTCTAGATTTGTGTGCATAAAAATTTGGTCATGGATTTATTATGGAATAAATTAATTTGGAGGTACTATCATGGGGCATTTATTTGATTCTCATTAAAAAGATCAAAACACACTTTTGAGCTGCAGACTTGGATTCTTAGTATGAAAAAAATGTTCCTCCTGGTTACAAAGACATGGTTTTGCAAACTAATTGAGCCTGAGATTCTACTTCTGGTACACATTAACTACATTTTCTGACAACAAACAAATTTGTCTAATTATTTCAAATTCCTTCCACAGCTAGAACCCTGTACAACTCCCTACTGAAAGTCTTTTCAGTACTATTCCCATATTTATGTGCTTATTCCAGTTATATCTTTTACAGGAATACTGCAGCAAGAGTTCTGTTCAGAGAATATTTCATTACACGTAAGGTTTTAGCTTATCCGTATAGTTGATTGTTAGTTTTGTTATTAGGTTACTGGAGTCTCTCTTTGTTTACTTTTTATTCATATATTCTGGAAAGACCTGAAAGCCTTAAGCAGTACTGTGATCCTGTAGTGGGGGACATCCTGCAGACTGAGAGAAAGAAAACCTCAACTGAAGAGAGCTTAAAATAACTAAGATACAGGAAGTAAGTAGGTGTAAAAAAGCAGAATAAAATAGAGAAAATGAGCCAAGGTTTCAGGAAAAACAAAGATGTAGGCTGTCTAAAATCCCATGTAATTTAGGAAGTTGGTGATTGAAATGCACTTGAGTGCAAAGCAGATCCTCAAACCATCTCCTTTTCACCTGTACTCCGTCTGAGTCCCAAATGCTTGATGGTCCTGGGACGTACTGGTCCAAGGGTGAGGGGTTGTACGTCTTCCACCAGACACCCCGCTGTAGCCTGGTATGGAGGGTCAGCCCCAGAGCTTCTCACACACATGAGCCAGATAAACATCAGCACAGCTGGTCAAGCGTTACCTGTGTGGCACCAGTGGCATTTTCCTGCAGACTTCTTAGTAGAAAGATGCCCATGGGGGGTAGCATGGTAATCACTGTGCAGTTCAGTTTGTGAAGGTGTTCTCTCTCCGTACCAGATACACAGAGAAAAAGACGCCGAGGTGGGTAGTCAGCAGATGTGGCTGCTGTCACCTCAGTAAGTGAAAGGAAGAAGCAGTATGTAGAAGAGAGGAAATAACTAGATTGAAAGAAATTGAGAAGAAAAAAAAAAGTGTAACACTTTTAACGGAAGATATGCCACAGGGATTCTCCTCTGAGAGTGAAGCCACAAGCCTGTCAAACAGTGTCAGACTCGTCATCTGTTGGATCAAGTGTCACATTTCAGAAGATTTTGTGGAGGAACTAATGGTTTCCAGTGACCAGGTGGAGATCAGGCCTCCTTCCCTATGAACAGCCATGCTCTGACAAACAGGCTCCTATACTGTCTTAAGGAGAGCACCTCAAAACAGGGGCACCCACACTTGTAGTTACTTTCAAAAATAGTTTGCATGCCTTGTAGAAAACAGAACAGGATTTCCTGATCAAAACCCAAAACTGCAAACATATTCTGTGTGGTTTTTTTGCCTTTGCCCGATCTTGACTTTTTTTTGGTATTTGAAAAATAAAATCCGACAGCATTCATGTCAGATGTCTAAAATGACTGTGCTATGCATCATGCAAGTAACTGCCAGCTTCTGAAAAAGCAGTAATTGTCATGCCTTTCCCTCCCTGCAGTAAATGGACATAAATATTCACATGCCTGGGTACATTAGGCTAGATAGATTTATTCATACATTTTCAGGTAGGGAACAGAAATTGTAAAATGTTGACATCTTCTGAAAATCTTCTTCACAGTCCTTTAACCAACTGTAGTACAGTAATATGACATAGCTGAATTTGGCAAGACACTAATAGGTAGGTTCCTCGGCAGGGTGGAGTGGCAGTGAGAATTTAAGGGATGTTTGAATTGCTTTTCTAATTTTGCATACAAATATTGACACTGCAGTACTGAATACATTCAGTGCATGTGCAGTAGGGCTTACTTTTCTATTGGTCTGACTTCTGTGAAACTAAGGGGGCAATTTTTTGAGTAAGGTCTGCTGGATTTGATTTGAAAGGTGTATATTTATTTGCAAAAGAGAAGAGGCAAATATTAATTTTTGTTGCATTCCTTTGCTTCCTGGTTATACTTAGTTTTCACTAGTTTTGGAGCACTAATGAGCACTTCTGATTCGCTCTCTTTTTTAATCAAGTATTATTATTTCATAAGTATACCTTTCTCCCCAGAAGTAGGAAATTGCCTTACCCTCAGAGCAGAGTTCATCTTGTCTGATGTAGCCATGTGCAGACCAGGTGTTGAGTGTAAGCCCCTTATTTCCAATTCTTTTCCTAGTCAATGAAGAAAGATGGAACACTTCTGGAAGTCATTTCTCTCTGAAATCTGTCTCAGGATGGCAGGGATTTCACACTGAAAAATATCTTCATTTGGTACAGAGAGTTGACATGGTGATGTTTGTCTAGGTACCAAACCATGGCTAAAATGAAATGGGATGAACACCCTTGTGAGTGATAGTAAATTCTTGGTGCCATGTCAGTTGGTTGGCAAGATATTTATGAAAAAGCAGTATTTAACAGGATGGAATGTGATACTGTGGGATGTCTTGTGGATTTACAGTCTCAAATTTCCAATTTCAGGGAGGAGAACATTGCTATTATCAGGGAGAAATTCGAGGAAATCCTGTATCATTTGTTGCCTTGTCAACATGCCATGGATTACAGTAAGTCTGCTGTTTTGTTTTTACTGGCCTTCTCTTATTAGTCTTTTAAACAAAATAAAGCTGTTTATAGTGAAAGAAATGCTATTTATTTTCCTACTAGTTTGTCACCATTATTAAGTACTTTAGAAGAAATAGGTTTAATTTGAACCTTGCAAAACCCTTGTTTGTTTTCAAAATTCACTGACAAAGCATGCAAGCTTCATGCCTTTTTTTTTTTTTCCCTTTAAACTGAGGATATTTGACAGTGGCCAGGCATTGTTTTAAGGTCATTTATTACAGAGATAGAAGAGTAAAAGTAGCTGAAAACATTTTATTCTACAAGGATAAAACCCACTTTCAGTATTGACGTGAACCATTTGGAAATTGTGTTCTTTTCTTGTTGCTACAATGAAGTATTTAATTTTCTTTACTACTCATTACAAAGGAAAGTGTCAGAGTAGAGTCCTATCCATTTTCCTTCACAGAATTGGTGGCCTTAAGCTGTGTGCATGGGATAATACTTTAATATAGTAAAATCTTGGAAAATCTGGAAGAAAGGATATAAAATTCAAAATAATTTTTTTAAAGCACATAATATTAGTGATAATATAATTAAAGTGTCTGTCATCTGAATGTTACATGGAGCTGTGTGTTGATTGTACAGCTGTTGGACCTGTCTACCTTCGGCACTATTGAAAGATGCTAGTCAGGTTTTCAGAGCAACCAGGTAACTTCAGTGTCTGCTGGAATCTGGGAATTACAGGATCTCAGTGCTCTTGATACTAAGATCAGCTTGAAGAGTCAGGATAGCAAGTGAGCCTGTGTGGAGATTACCTAAGCTTTGTATTTTTCTGCAGAAGCAGGACTTATTTGAAGAAATCTTATTCAGTTTATTGTCTATCTCGACTATTCTGTAGTTTTGGTATCAACCATATAAGTACACATATTTAAGTAGTGTCTTTCTTTTATATTTGTATATTCTTTGTTAGGAAGGGTGAGAGTACATGCAGAAGACTTGTCATCCTTGCACTTTTCTGATTCACAGCTGTGTTTATCTCTTTTACGATCAAGGTTGAGCAGCTCAAGAAACTAGAGCCCAGTTTCAGTTATGGACAGTGAGCCTAAAAATAGTACCGTCCTAATGCATCCTGAGCCACTGAATGGCTTCCATTAGCAGTGATCCATTAGGTCTTGGCCCCTGCTAACTCCTAGGATAAAGCAGAAAGGAAGGAGAGCCAGTGAATGTCCTTTCCTGCCCTCCTTTTGTGGGCTTGTTCTTGAGGCTGACCCTCTTGCTGCTCTGTATTCTTCAACTGCCTGATACTCATATTAGTCCCTTCTAACACAGTTATGTGATGAAAGATGCATTTTTTTCCCTGTATTCAGCTCTCCCATGAGAAGTACCTTTTTTTTTTTTTTCTTGTTCCTTTTTTGTGATACAATAAAGTTTCAGCTGAGTTATCCTTCACACAAGACGCAATATGAAGCTTACTATGGCAGGCTGGTAATTTCAATATCCAGTCATGTTTTCCTGAGCTGTGTTAAACTCACATTCTTTAATGCTGCATTTCCATCGTTACAACTAGCTCCTCCACAGTTGATTTTAAATGCTAAGTAATTACTAGAAATTCAGACTAGCAACCAGAGCTCCTTAGCTCCAACCACAGTTTGAAGTGGCTTGCCGGAATAAGGGGAGCTGGGGAAAGTTATCTTCTAATAAGGTCTGTAGGGCAGGAGCTTTGCTTTCATGAATTTTAGGAAATGCATAAGAACAGGTGCCTTTAATAGAGTAATAAGCTTCATATTTCCAAAGTTCATGCTGATCTTCTCTTTTACTTATTAGTATCCCTAGATCTTGGCCACTAACAGCTGAATTTTTCATACATGTGAGAAAATGTTGTGTTTTTTAAATCATAAATTATGAGTTGTTGTGTTGGTAATGTCTATCTTGTGGTCTTCCTTGTATTAGTTACATTAATCAGATGACTGGCTGACACAGTGCTTAAAATTCTTAATTTCTTCTATTCTTACGGACGTTGCTAATGAAAAATATATCTCTTGAACTTTACCTCCAAGCGACCCATTTTGTTTGGATTTTTTTTGTTGTTTTCTGTGGGATATGCAGTAACCACAGTTTCCTATGAGTTAACACAAAAACCCCTGAATGCAAAATACACTGGTTGCTGGGATATTAACAAGCTGTAGTCAGGCACGACTCGCAGTCGGTGGGTTTAGACACCAGGTTCGTCTATGATTTTGCTGCCCACTGGTGGTGAATATAAAAACTGCTGTTATTACTGCAAATTAGACTTGAACGACTACAAATTTGTTTGTTTGAAGAATATACATAATCAAAATTCAGGTTTTGGAAATAGTGTTTTGCTATTGCTTTCTCTCTAACACATCTGTGAGCGTGTAATTTGTTCACAGAGCACTAGACTATTGAAGTCGGTTGGAAAAGAGCCATGAACGCTTTGAGTGGGCAATCAGAGCTGTAGGTCAGCCGTGACTATTACTCTGGTCACTGTTGAGTGCCTTGATCAGAGGGCAGTGCTGCTGAGTGCAACAGTGGCACGAGAAGCTGTTTGCTGATAGTGCTTCATCTTGCAGACTGTGCTTTAAGTGAAGTTGCAATTAGAGGGAAGGAAGTTTTGCCTGATTGAGAGCCGCAGGATGTTTTCAAACCTCATCTTATTCCCAGGCAAAGAAGCTTCAGCCGGTGCTAGAATATTTATCTTATGCTGCATAGGCAGTGTTTATTTCTAAAGAATAGGCACAGGTAATTTGAAAGGTGAAACAGCTTTAAATTGTAGATACACTCATGATCACACTAGGTGCTATACAGTCAGTAACCCAAGCTACTCTGTGAATGCTACATGGTTAGCCCTGTAAATGAATAATAGTAAGAAAAGTATGCTCATCAATAGCTGTAATGCTTTACAAGCTTATATTTCTTAATAGTCAGAAAAAGAATGACAGTATTTTACTGACTGCATCTGGTCCAGTGCAGAACCAAAATCAATTTAAAAAATAAAAAGCTGCATTTTTTAAAAAAAAAGTATCGGATTTTGTTGTTTATAATTCTGATGGAGGTTTTTTTGATCCCTAAACATTTGCTAAAGAGTAATCTAAATAAATACTCTCGCTTTCATGCTGCTGTTGTGTACTGTGTGCCAAGTTTGAACTTAGAGCTCGTATTTATGGCCACGTTTAAAGCCCTTAGTAGTGGTGCTTTGAAAGGGACGTGCTGATACAGCCTAATCCCAACCATGCGTGTATGCCACTGCAATAAAGGAAAAATTATTTAAAAAAACCCAAACAAACAAACAACTGATTTGGTTGAAGATCAGAATGGTGATGATATAAGAAATGCCCTTTGGTTTTATGCTCTTAGAGAGTAATGTCTGTATCAATACTTTCTTTTAAGGTGCAATTCAACCACACTTCTACATCTTGTGTTATGTTAAAGGCTAACCTCAGTACACTCTTTACCTAAGTAAACTTAAGGTAACTCTTAATAGAAAACATCGTTGCAAAATGGATGTCACCTTTGCTGTACATTCGAGTGATAATTCAAGCATTTGGTGGTGTTGTTACAGTCTATCTCCATCCATTTAAAGAGCCTTAATGGTTCAGTTTGTTCTTTGTTTAGAGTTGAACTGTGGAATTTATAATAATATGGAAAATTGGTGATTGTGTGTGGGCAAGCAAAGTGACAGGTTTTCTGAGATACATAGCAGTGTGCCTATCATGAATGACCTTCACATTTCTGTGGTTGAGAAGATTTTATGCCATTAAGAAAGAGACCATGAGTACTTTGCCAGAACCATGGATATGGGAGGAGGCTTGGTCCTCTGTGTCTCTTTTCACCACAACCTATTGGAAGCCTGTCTGATGGAGTTTCCCATCTCCTTATCATGAACATCATATAATGTCTGTATTCATATGATAATGCATACAGCCATTCATGTTTCCTAGAAATACAAACTTTAACTCATTTTTTTTTAAAAAGAGACATTTGTCATATAATTATTATTGCTGAAATGCCCCAAACAGCCCTCTATGTCCAAAACAGCCCATTATGCTCTTTGTACTTGGTACTGTATGAAAATACTGAGGAAAGAGTTAATCAAAAACATTTAAAACTTAAGGATCAATTTAATTCAATAATATTTTTATTTGGGGGAAAGCTGTAGGCATGTTACAAATACACATGTTCCTAAAGACAGGTCCCTTATTTATCTGTTTCAGGTAGACCTCTCTTACATGGGAGTGGGGGCTCTGAACTGGATTTTGTTGGCTAAATTAGCCAATTTTTGTTGTCTTTATGTTTGTGGTAGAGGAGCTTTGGGGAAGAAACAAGAGTCTATATCACCACAGGAGAGAATATCTTTCCTTCTGAAGTGAAGAAACAAAAGATTTACTCAGAATTACATTCAGTTCCTGAAACCATTTTTAACTGTTTCCTTTTCTAAATATTTACATTTTAAAATATATGAACTTCTGAAACTTACTTCCATGTTACACTAGTATTTGTTTATTAAATCAATATTTACATTTCCTGCTCTTGACAGTGGGATGTTTTATGATGGAAATCATACTTACCTTATTGAACCAGATGAAAACTACACTTCAGAGGTAAGTAGAACTCACAGTAGTCCTGCTGTGTTGTTTGCTGAATACAGACATTCATGGTACAACAGGTTAGGCTTTGGGACCAAAGCGTCATCCTGTCATTCCCAACTCATTTACCTCATATGTGCATCCCCATCATCACAGACAGAAGTAGATCTCCAAAAATCAGGCAGTGGTATGTGTATATTTGTGTAATTGGTAACACTTGGATGTAGAGCAGTGCTACATCAGAGGGTGATGAGGGTCCCTTGGAGCCATCAGGAGAAGCCTGTGAGTGCCCTGTCTCCTTCTCTGGCATTTCCCACTCTGGATTCATTACATTCCTCTCCTACTGGTTTGACCTTGACTCCAGTTCAGCAGCTCCTACGACTCATGCTGATGTTCACTGGGCAGCTCTCTTAAGCCTATCTCTAAGTGTGCTCAGCCACTCCGTTTGATGTACTCAGGTATTTCAAGCGAAAGATGATTAACTGTGGTGCTAGTGATCACATCACAGTTGTGAAAAAGCGGAGTGTATAGTGCCTTGCAACTTGCATGTTTACTAGTGTTGGTGTTGGATAACAAGGACCTTTGGAAATGTCTGTTTAATGCTCATGAGATGGATTAGTTTATCCAGGTTTAATAGATGCAGTTATTTACTATTTCAGGATGACTTCCATTTCCACTCTGTTTACAAATCCAAGTTGATTGAGTTTCCTCCAGACGACCTGCCACCTGGTATGATTTTTCAGTATTCATTACTTGTTTTAGTCTAAGACCAAATTTGTTATTCGTATTTGATAGATAATCTTCTGATAGTATAAATTTGTAAATTTGTATATCTCTTCTTTTTCCTGATTAAATAAAAAAGCACTGGAAAAAAAGAATTTGAAACACTGAAAGCACTGGAAAACAAACCCTGAATCCAGTGAATCAAACCTCTCTCAGACCTTCATGTTGTGATGTATGTTTTTCTTAACAAGTCATTGTCTATGAACTGCATTATATGCCTATAGTTGTAGAAAGGAAAGGACTGGAGTAGCCTAAAGTTGATGAAAATAAACCCCACATTGCCAGGGATTGATAAGATACAAGGTGAGTACCATGGTGCGAGCATAAGACTGGGAGGCAAGAACTTGCCAGATATTGTTGCTGTTCAGTGACTTTCATCTCCAGTCTGTACAGCATTTTTCACAGTACTGGCTGTAGTGTGGGTCATGCATTTCAGAACAAATTAATTTGGAGGCGGAAATGGTTTCAAGTGCTTTTAGTGATGAAACACAGTTTATATTGTGTGTGGAGGGAGAAGAGGTTTTTAAAAAAATTAGTTTTCATCTGAGAAGTTGACTTGTTAATTGAAACAAAAATTGCAGTATTTGTGGCATATCCCCATTCTGTCAAGGATTTGCCAGTTTTACAGATGCGTTGTCCTGTTCTACAAAATATATCCTAGATAAATAAAACTGTCCTTTGTAGACACTGTCATTTTGGTAGAAATCACTTCTAGACTAATTTCTCCAGGAGAGTTACAGGTGTTCAGTCATGTTGTTAGAAACTGTTTGACCTATGGTAACAGCTGGATCTGGGATCTTAGATTGCTGTGTACTGCACATAGATGGGTCCTTACCTGGAGCACAGTGTGTGCAGGTTTGCTGGTTTTTAAGCAAATCACTCAGAGAGCTAATGAGAAAAAACAAGGGAACTTGCTACAATTGGGTCACCTTGATTTCAGTTCTGAAGAAAGAATCTTTCTGAGTCTAAATAAAACAGTATTGCAGCTTGGTGCCTCACGTCCTCCACAAAAGATTGCCCAGGTGAAGTGGAGGAGGCGTGTGGATTGGAGGGGCAGCACAAAAGGATCATGCAGTGCAGGATGTGGACATTTTTATCATGAAACTTGGTATGTTTGTGCACCTTAGACATGTACCATGGTTACTCCCCGTACATGTGGAGATGGAAATGAGAACAATTTATTGAATATAAGGCCAAACAACAAAGTGCGCCTTTTATCACATTTTCTGAGGAATATGTCATTTGAAAGGTTGGAAATAATGCAACCACTGCTGAGTTTAAAATGAGTTTTCTGTCTCAGGTTGTTAAAGTAGGAGACTGCTAGAGCTGGTACTTAGTAGAAATGTATCGGCTGTCTTCTAAGATTTTATAATACTAAAATTTTACGTTTTCAAGATTTTGGAATAAAATTATTTTCTGTTTTTAAAATGATGAAAAGTATAATCCACTGTTATTGCAAGTATAATCCACCAGTTTTACCTCCACCACAGCTTCTTGATTTTCCAAAAAACTGTCAGAATAGGGCTTCAGGTTTTTTTCCCCACAAAAATCCAGATATGCTTGTACAGTTTTGATTTTACTGTAGATAACAAGGAAATAGTTGTTGGCTTTGCTGTACAAAGCCCAGCATGTGATATAATGGAAGATGTTGCCATTAGATTGAATTAGAATTACAAGACTGTAGAAAAGGTTGAAAAGGAGATTTAATTATGGAGTACTAGTGGTCTTAGACAAATATGGGTAATATGGATAAGAGGGATAAGCTGCTAATCTTCTATCGCTTCATGTTTAGGATCCCCTATATGGAGAAATAAACTTTATCTGCTCTCCCACATACCCATGCTTGTTTTTGTAAAACCATTTGGAAAGGTGTTTCTGAGGTTTGTGGTGAAAGTTTCAGTAGATGTAACAGATTATATTCCATTAGGAATCCTACCATTTTTCTTTGTCTGTGATTATTCAATTTATCTCTGTCTTTTAAGTCATCCTTCATGCGTAGCCACAGCTCCAGAGGATAAGAGCAGTCCACACCACCTTCTGCTTCCCCACCCTTTTCCCTGTGCCCACAGGAGCTCTGTTCACGCCCCAGTCTGCTGCACACCCTGTCCCACCACCTTCTTCTTTGCTCCTCATACATGCTGCCTCTCCAGCGTGTCTGCTTGGAACTGCCTTTTCCCTGCCAGGCTGGAGAGTGCTGGCTTTTTCTTGTTTTCTTTAAACAATATTTGCAATTAATTGCTAATAGTATTGTCACTGATATTTTTTTTAAAGTGCTACAGCAAAGTCATTATTGTTAGTAGCAAGCACTGTGCTAGTATTCCTTATTACTTAATTACATGATTCATCAGTTTGCCCAGCCTAAGGATATATTCCTTCATGTCAAGATTTTCTTACTATCTTTAAAAGAGTCTGTGTGTAGGCTAAGATTTACACTCAGCATTGTGTTAGGAATGGACTGGGTATGTCATCAGCTTCAATATTGATGTTAGAAAGGAAAAAAAAAAAAAAATCAAGTAATAGGGATTACTCGATATCCGTAGCAAAAGCATACACCATTATACCATGGTTCGATAGCAATGTACATTTTACATTCTTGTATTAAAAAAAAAAAAAAAAAAAAGCTGTTGCAGAAAAGAATTAATTGTACTGTACTTTGCAGTGGTCTGAGGAGGTAATGAGGGTTTTAAATAAGGAAAGCTTGGATGGATGACTTGGCATGCTTAGAACATTTGACTTCATAATTTAGTAAACTTGTTTTTTCTTACAATCTGTACTGAGACATACAGTGCCCTGGCATGGTTTTAGACACCACTATGTTACTGAAGGTGTTGTTTTTCAAATAATGCATAGCAGATGTCCTTTTCTTTTGAGGTCCCTTGACAGACATGTAGATGTCACACTTAGGAACATGGTTTAGTGGGACTTGGCAGTGCCACATTTACAGTTGGACTTGATCTTAAAGGTCTTTTCCAACCTAAATGAGTCTATGATTCTATGAATCCTCATTATACTTTTTCAAGGTAATATATTCCCATCAAAATTTCCACGAGGCTTTGTCAACTATCTGCATTTCCTGTGATTTTGCTGGTCATGTTCTTCTGCCTGAGGGTCCCTGGCTGGAAATGCACCCTGTGTGAATTCATCCAGTTTATGAATTATAGCGCTGTGTTAATGTGTGTTAATGTGTTGATGTTAATGGCTGCATCATTCCCCTCTAGAGATGACTGACTTCCGATGGTGTGTAAAACGATCACATTTGCTGGTAAAGTTATCTGAGACCCTATATACATATTGTAAATTATTTCATTGATTTCAGATTTGTATTTTTACCAGTTTTGTTAACCGTGATATAAAACCAAAAATGACAGGTTGAGTGGCAGTTTGTACACAACCTAGTGCCAGTTGTGTGGCACTGGAACACAAACTAAATTAATCAACATATGTAAAGCAGAATCAAAAACAAATTTGGAAAAAGTTTTCAAGATTTAGTTTCTCATCATTGCGAGCTCTAGAGACTGCAGGTCTTTGAGCAAGACATAGGGACACTTGGGTGTGATTTCATTTATTTTAGGTGCTTTTTGTAAAGAAAATCCTCAAGTGCACTGGTGTAATCATGAAGTAATTTTTAAGCAGAGGGCCTATGGTTGTCCAGGCCCCTCCATAAAAAGATATCTGCAAACTTCACATGCAAAAATGATGGTGTGATCCCCAAGATTAGCTGAGACAGTACAATGGTCATGCTTTGCTTTCCTGGTTTGTCTCGTCAGTAACTAGCCACTCTTGATTAAGATTAGCACTTATGCCTGGTAATGTTTTGTCAGATGGGCAATTCAACATTGTGTTTTAAAGTTTTGCTCATATGGCAGCCCCATCAAATTCCTATCAGCACTGTTTTTAATCCTGTTGTTTAAACCTCATGCAGAAATTGCACAGTTAATGTGCAGCAGGTGGCAGGTGGAGCTGTGAGAAACCTACCTGTCTCACCAGTGAAACTGAACTGTTCAGGATTCTGTAACACAACCAAAAGTTATGTACAAAGGTATGTGAACTGGAAGTCCCTTAATTTACACAGCTGCTATAGTACTGTCTGCTTCTCTGCAGGACTGGTAAAATCACTCTGGAATACTGAAAGCAGTTTTAAATTCCTGGAGATTGAAAGGATGTCCAAAGCTGCAGAAAGCACAAAGGAGGGAAAGTATCCAAGAGAAAAAGACATACTACAGAATAAGCAACTGAAAACATCCAATTTATGGTTCTCAAAAAAAGATTTTCCTGGGGTTTTGTGAATAGTAAACATGTTTATACAAGATAAGGAAAGATATTTCTATTTTACAGGGAAAAGTGAGGCAGAGACTATGAATCTAAAACTAAAAATGTAAAAATACTTCTTGGACATTCATAAGGCTGAGAGCAAGTATTGTCTTCTGCTTAGTTTATAATATGTCCTTTTCCGTGAGCGGCTAGTAATAGATTTGATGAAAGGGATTTGGCAAAAGAATAAACTACTTGGTGCTTATGCTTAGAGGTTTAAGAAATTAAAAACACAGTGGGATTAGCAGGGAGGAATATTGTATTGATAGCGAACATTGCCAAAATCTCGTAAGGTTTCTCCCAACTCTAACCTATTTTACTTTGTGAATATAATCATTTTAAAGCATTAATTCTGCCTTCCATGCTCTTCTTATTAACTTAGGTAGCTATTGCGAGAGCTCTGTGAATGTCTGCTGAATTCCCCAAAATGTGATTCACTCCATGGAAGCACTGTGCTAATAATACTACATGCCCAGTGTTGGTGGAGTTTTGGTGTAGAACATCTGCTGTGCTTTCTGAAGCGTGACACCCACAGATCATCTGTTTCAGCAGACCCAGATTATCACTAGTAGAGTTTTTAATAAGAACCCTGTTACTGGGAAGCATCTGTAACGTTGCCTCCTTTCTAGCTGGAAACTTGACAAAATGAGTTGTTATTGCATCTGATGTGCAGAAGAATGCCACACTACTGTCATGCAGCATCGGTGTCACTAATTGTTGGGCTATATTCTTGTAAATGTTCAATGTGTTTGCCTGTGTTTTCTGCTTAGAGTTCTGGCAAATGAATACTACATCACAGAATTTTGTTGTAAAGCCAAGACACAAAAGAAGTAAAAGGCAGGTATGTGCCAGTTATGCTTGTTTATAAGTAATATCACCATGAAGTTTGTTTTGTGTCTGCTGAATTGATTTGTCCAGATGGAGTCCTGCTGCTGCTGGTGGTTTGGCCTGAGCTCTCTATATTAATACAGATATTACAAAAAGAGGTATCTAATGTAGACAAAACATTGTTGGGTTCTCTTGGATGTTGCCTGCCTGAAGAGTTATAAAATTGTTAAACACTGCTAAACTGCAAATGAAAAAGTAGCTAAAATAATTTTCTGTCATTTTGAGTATAGAGTTTTATCAGAAACTTGTAATTAATGAAACATTTACAAATATTTTTTATGTTGCAACAGTTACAACTAGTTACTTAATCTCATGTGATTTTGATTTAAAATAAATATTCTAAACTAAGAGTTCATTCCCTGTTTATTGAAGTCAGGGAGCCCCTAAGTGCGTATGTTTGTCTGTACCCTGGAAAGATAGCAGAAATTCTTTGCATTTTAGGAATGGAGCTCAAATGACGGTACAGGTCAAAAAAGAGCTGGATCAGAGGGGCTGAACAGTGCAAGGAAAAATGAAATACTGAGAGCAGTGGGAAGGGAAGATGAGTTTAACATCTCTAATGCAAGCCTCTCTGAGGCAAAAGAGAAGTGAGAAAGCCATTGGAGGAATGCCAGAAATCGTTCTTGAGAATCTTACTTTGAATCAAGTGGTTTGCTACCTTTCTATAAACTAGCCATTACTCTGCATTTTTAAATCATAATGATGTAATAACTGTCCTGGAAAACCCAGGAAAACAAGGACACCATGAGGAAGCACCGTCATAAATGCTTCTAAGTGCAAAGTAAGCATAACACAGAGGAGATAAGTGCATTCACTGTGTGAATTGAGCAGTGTGCAAATAAATAATAGAATCGCTACAGATATTTTTCATAAAGAATGCAGGAGGGATCCCTTTCTCTGTGGGGAAAAAAATATAACTAATGAAAGCCATTTTTTAGAGATAAGGCCCCACTGAGAATTCTTTCTTCAAAAAACCCTAGATTTGGTATTGGATGGATTGAAAGACTTATTTGTTTAAGACCATATAAATGTCCAAGTGGATGTGACAGACTTTTTTTAAATGACACAGCTAAGCACCAGAAGTTTCATCAATATCTGAGACCAGAATTAAGACAATAGAAAAAAATGTATGCCTGTGAAGTTTGGTTTCTGAAGCTATTTCTAGTTACCAGTTACACTCCTTCTGTACTCTATTAGACTCTCTTACAGTAGTACTTTCTTCCTAGATTCGTCTCATTCCACGTAAAGTTGAAGAGGAAACAAAATACATTGAGTTGATGATTGTAAACGATCATCTAATGGTAAGACCGACACAGTTCAGCATCTTAAAATTATCATTAACATGAAATTGTCTGTAAAGGATTGCAATAAAGAACAGTATATGGCCAGAATAGATTCAGTATGCCCTTAAGAGAAGAGATTATGTTCTCATTAGCCATGAAGTTGCTTCTGAATTTTGGCAAGATAATTTCACCAAGAATGCAACTGGGCCTGAGTGTTAGTAAGAAGGGTCATAAATTAAAGCCTTGTCATAAAGTAACTAATGTCAGTGTGACTTAAGCTGATGATTTTCTTTCTGGCTTTCCTGAGCACTTACCTTAGTTATAGCCACTCAGCAATCAATAATGCAGTTACTGCAATTGTGCGGCAGCTGGTGGCAATGGAGAGATTAATAGTGACTAGATTTTTTTGATACAACCTAATCAATATAGAGAAAATGATTTTATTAGGCTTGTATGCTTTCTCTGGGAGAACATAAATAGGGTCTTTAATTTAGTGGAAAGAGACACAATAAAGATTAGTGTATTGAAGAAAAAACAAGCTCATCCAAGTGAGAAAAGGAACAGATTTATGTCAGTGAAGATGATTCATAATTAATGAAAGGAATATCAAAGGAAATGGTGAATTCTCCATCACTTGCAGTCATCAAATCCAGACAGTGTATGTCTGGAAGATGTGGTGTCAAACACAAACAATAGAATCTTGAGGTAACTGGATAAAGTTCAGAGATTGGTGGTGCCCCTCCAACTGGTGACATTGGTTGATTTTATGGTCCTTTATGGCTTTAAAATCAAAATATATCTATACATTTTATTTACCCTTTCTGTAATTCTCTCAAGCAATACCCAAATTTGCAAAAATAGACATTGGAGTGTATAAGGAATGTTCCACTGTCCTTGGTCAGTGTACTTCTCTGTCAGCTCAGTTTGATGAGAATAGTAATAAAATCTTGGATTAAAATGGACAATACTGCATGCAGAATTCCCTAAATTGATGGCATTGTGTTTGATCCTGAAGACCCGAAGCCACGACTTTCCCCTTGGGAACTTACCTGTCTGGGTTGAATACCCCCAAGGACAGTGCTTCATAGTTTGGGTAATTATAGCTACTGCAATAGTCCACTTAGGAGTTTATTCTCTGAAGCAAACGCCAGTGAACATCTGTGGTCGAAGAAGCCCAGTAATTTCCTCCTGGGAGAAGAAAGTGTTGTATGCTGTGGGCTCCTGCCTTTCCCTAGGCCTGGGCTGGCGCGCCTCTGTATTTGGATTACTTTCTGTGCCTGCAGTCGATGTGACACTCCAGGGGCACTCAGTGTGGAGCTGACAACCCATAGAGTTGGAGCTCTTTTCACCATTCACCATCCCCAGGTGCTTCTAGAAGGAGCAATGAACCCCATGCTTCTTCCTGTGGTCTGTGGAGCCAGCTGTGTCCTGCTAGCCCCCTGTGGCCACTTACTGCTGTGAGGGGTGCAGTGCCCTCCTGTCTGCCCTCTTAGCTGCTTGTCCAACTGCTTTCAGCTGGGGAATAAAGCTTTTAAAACCCAAACATTGAAATAGGCTAATAGGCTTTAGTATACTGAAAAAATATTCTGTCAGCCTCCAGCATCTTTAAGCATTCTCAAGTTTGAGGTTTTGGTTGCAAATAGAGACTTGAGTAGTGTAATCATTTCCCTTCGTTCCTGTGCTTCACTTTCCATTTATTTTTTAGCTTTTTCATTTCATCCTGCCATTTTTAGCTTCACAGACCTGCCCTTTTTTTAAATAAGTGTGACTTCCTAATTTTTGGTGGTTTTCCCATTCCTTCTTGAAAGCATGCCTTTCCTATCCCCTAGCTGCTGTGCACTTCTTGCCCACTAAAAGATCCTAACTTCCAGAAAATATGGACAACTTGCACTCCAAAATCAAGTATCACAAGATGCTTGGTTTTGGAGGCAAGGGGCACAAGATGGTTAAACATTTCTGAAAATCTTAGCCCTTTCATCCTAAATTTTTCTAAGATACTTGTGACTTTCATACCCATAGTGCTCATTTAGAAGTGTTTTTTTCTGCATATAGGAGTAGCTGGACAGCCATCTTCAGTGTCATCTTTAGAGCAGTGCATTACAGATTTCACTAAAGGTGCCATTGCAGTCTGATTGCTAAAGTGATTTGAACCAGTTACTGTGGCATTATGGGAATGTGAAATTGTATATGAAGAAATCCAGAAGACAGCTTAAGAGAGAGAACTGAAGGAAAATAGAAAGTCTGGTAGAATAAAATAAAATGCAGTCAATCTGAGGGTGACAGCTCTAAAGGAGTCTCAACTATAGAAGTTGTGTTGCTAATTTCTGTATTGGTATTTGGAATTAACATTAAAATTGCCAATAATAAAGGTGACAAAGAGGGTAACAATGTGTTCCTGTTCCTATAGCATTTTTCAGTAAAGATCTTGGAGTACTTTCCTTAATAGATCCTCACAACAGCTGTTGTAAATTATATCAGCAATGTGCATTTCTGAGCAATTTTCTATTATTGCTTATTAACGTTACACTCATCACAGGAGACCAAGCCTTGCACAGGGGTTTTACTGTTGATGTAGTGGGTTTCAACTCTGTGCTTTTTTGGAAATGGAGCTTATTTTGCTGGTCTGTATATGTAACTTGTCTGTGTTTGTTTTGCAGTGTAAAAAGCACCGCTTGTCAGTCGGCCATACAAACAGCTATGCTAAATCGGTCGTGAACATGGCAGATTTAGTAAGTATCACTCAACTAAATGGGTGGGTTTTTTTGTGTGAGATGAGTCATATGATTCTCCTGCCAATAGATGCAGGAGTTGTCAGTTCATGGTATACCTAATAATAACGTATGCGAAGATCACAGATTTTCATCAAGAACCACAGTCAGCCACATATAAAGCCTTTGTCTAACATAAAGCCTTAGAGATTTTTTTGTGGCTTCAGACATTTAAGTATCCTGCTGGATCAATCCCTTGAGTCTGAGTTTTAAAGAGCACTTTAGATACGACAATTTTTAACACAAGGTCCCTGTGTTGACAACCTGAAACCCAAAAGACAATCTGACATTGGAAAGCACTGAAATTTCTTCAGAGAAAGTGCATTTGAATAAATGAGTTACAATAGGGACATTCTGGTGGATTATGTGGATTATATTTATGACGCTAGATGGGATGAGCTACTGGCTTTTACACCTCACCCCAGAAAAGTATTACTAGAAAAAGAAAAATGCAGTTCCTACTCTGGAAAATATTTGGTGTGGAGTATTAACCCCCAGCATTGAAAGAATGAACCCCATCGGGGTGGCCCTGATGGTTCAGTCAGCATGAGGTTAGATACACCTGTAGAGGCGTATAACCATGAAAATTGTGGGTTTATAGATCACTATTTGGTATAAGAGAGCCCTTGTGTGTCGCTGGGGTGAGCTGGATATTAGAAAAGACCCATTAATTCAAAATCTTTGAACTATTTGGAACGGTTGTGTAGTAATATTTCAAAAATCTCATCTCCCTTCTGTGGGCCTATACCTATGTAGAACCTGCAGGGCATCTTTTTGCAGGCTGAGAGAGCTGATTGAAGAATCTAAAATCTAGATTGTACTTTGTTTTCATGTTTGTTTGTTGGTTTTAAGGGAGATAAAATCACCTGGGAGAAGTGTGCTAGAACAAGCTAAATATTTAGTTATGTAAAAATGCAAGCTATTACAAAAAGGGGTAAAACTCACCTTTATTCTATTTGACATAATATATTTGTTCATTCTGTTAATGTACTAGATATATAAAGAACAACTTAACACCAGGATAGTATTGGTTGCCATGGAAACCTGGGCTACTGATAACAAGTTCACCATATCTGAAAACCCCTTGGTGACCCTACGTGAGTTTATGAAATATAGGAGGGATTTTATCAGAGAGAAAAGTGACGCAGTTCACCTTTTTTCGTACGTAACCTTGTGTGACGTTTTATTACTGGGGTTTTTTCTTTCCTTGGGGGTTGCTTATCACAAGTGACTGGTGCATCTCCTTTCTGTTCTATGTGTAATCCACAATAATTCAGAAGATAATGTTTATGATGGGGAGGTGGGAAAAAGTTAATGCACAAACTGCCTGTCAGTGCAACTAGAGATTTGACTCTCAAATTTTGAGTTTTTAACGTACTAAGCCCAAACTGCATGCGCTGTAATCCCTGGTTATTCTGTGCAGTTACCTACTCTGCAAGTGCAGCTACATGGAAGGTGATGCATGGTTCCACCTCAAAGGCTGGCTTCTTCGGCAGTAGAGCATGGACAGCCCTGTAAAAGCAGAACATTGGTTTTGAAACCAATGAGGTTTCCTGCTTAAAAAGCACTATGATCTGCTTTACTTTGTTGAATGACCTGCATGCTGCAGGATTCCTTAAGTGTTTCCATTCCTTGAAACAGTTTGTTCTCCAGAAAAACATGCTATAGGAAGAATAAGCTGGCAAGAATGTTATTATCTCTAAATATCTTAATTGTTTTAGAAATAAGATTGATGTAATAAAATATATCTACAAAAATAGGGAAGGGATTCATGGCTGAGATTTTTGATCCACATGAGGCACACCAGATGAATTGCTCTGCTGGAGTCCCTATCCCTCTCTGCTGACTGTTGTAGGAGCCTATATGAATAAATTTAAGCTCACTTTCACATGACTGGTAGGGTGCCACGATACCCAACCCTAGTATCCACCCTCTCAGAATTTTTGTACATGCTTAATTACAGTCACTGACTTCTGCCATGAAGAGAGCTAGTAAGATCTGCAAGTGGTGCTTGCAGATTTTGGTTTCTCTATGTCTCAGTTCTTCATCTGTAAAATGGGAATCAGGTTTTCTCACATCATTCATGTGTCTTCTCTGGTGATATTGTAAGGCCTTTGGGGAAAGTCTTGTTCTTATGAATGTTTGTGGATTGGCTGGGACAAAGATGGCCCTATTTGCCCTGGGACTGGGACTCTGGATACCACTGTGTTGCTAATTCCAGTGCTATCCATAACAGTACCACCAGTAGTGTTTGAGGTACTGCATTTGTAGATTATTTAGAAATATCAGTCTCTGAAATTGTGTCTGTGAGTGAGACACAGCTAACTTGGGAGGTGAGGTTGGTTGGTGTGCTGATACAGTGGTTACAAATGAACTTACACTTTCAGTGCAGTTAGCCCACTGTATTGTTTTTTTTTATGTTTTTCTGTTTTTCTTTGAAAGAATCAACTTGCCACAGCTCAGATGGATCAGTACTCTGAAGGGGAGCAGAGTATATTCTGTCTCTAGTAACTGGCAGTCATTCATGGTGATATGGTCAGCACTAAAGAGATGATTGGATTTAGGCTCAGAGTGTCCCTTGGATGAGATCGGCTGCAATTCTAGGGACTTTTAACCCACCTCTGCATCGGGAAGCTACTAATGCATCTCCATTTGAGTTTTACTACATCAGCACTGCCCAATTAGACACGCGTCTTTTTACTAGTCCCCCATGCGTTGGCAGCGCGGTGGCCAATCCTGCGCTCTGTCTGTAGCATGTGCCAGCAGAAGTCGCTTGCTGCAGTAGTACATCAGTGAACAAAAGGCTAGTGAGAGTCAGGGGATTTGGCAAAATATTCCTCCTCTTATATTAGGTAGTCTGAGAAGGAGGACGGAAGATGGTGTAACTTTCCTGGAGATAATTTGCCATATGAGGTTTGTGAGTGTTTATCTGTTTTTCCCATTTTGTTTTTGCATAGTTTGCAGCATAGTGGTGGCAACCAGCATATTTGCAAATGACACTTTCTCTTTTGGAAATCAGAATGGTAAACACTGGGATGGATAGGTGCAAAACTCATGGACTGGGCAGGGTAAACTTTCTTTTCTTTTCCTTTTTGTCAAAGGGGGAGTCGATTTCAGAGCAGTCGAAGTGGTGTAGCCCACACTGGTGGAATCTGTTCCTTGCTTAAAGGCGGAGGTGTGAATGAGGTAGGTGGGGATACTGGTATGAGCAAAAAGAGGTGGAAACGTATCTGCACAGAATTTATCAGAGCAGACATGTTCCTCAAAATATCTTGCTGCTTCTTTCCTCATGCACTTTTAGTGCAGCTTAGTGAAGAGTGTTGAGTGAATAAAGTCAAATATGGATTCAAATATAGTTTTCATCAGATTCTTCAATATCCCAACATTCATACTTGCAGTCACAATGGCAAGAAAGAAACAGACTTTCTCTTATTTAATTTGTCCATAAGTCAGCATTTAGTTTTCCTTACTTTCCATTGGCTAGCTGCTCTGAATTAAGAACTCTTAGCACATCTGATTCTGTCTTTTATTGCCTTGGAATGAGAAAAGCTTCACTTGTATCTGAGATACTTGTACGTAACTGATTACTCCTCCTACTTTGCTTGTTTCTTTCAGTTTGGAAAGCCAGACTTAATGGCAGTTACCCTGGCACAGACCTTAGCCCAAAACATTGGCATTTTCTCAGACAGAAGAAAACTTATAAGTGGTAAGGTTGCTTGGTTTTTCACTCTATCTCAAGAGAAGGATCTTAAAAGATGGAGGATCTTATCAGTGTCTCTCTGATATGTATTTTTCCCCATGTTTCTTGTGATGTTGAAATATTTTATTTTTTCTTGTAATAACAGGAGGAAGGACTGACATATCATTAATTTTCCTCTATTTAAATGCTATGATATCCCCCTGCCCATAATTGATGGCAGCACGGGTGTCACCATTTCATTAAAAATAAATCATAAAGGTGTCTGCCACTTCCATTAATTTCAGGGAGATCAATGTCACACCCACAGACTGAATGGCTGCCACCTACATCAAAAGTAGAAACATACATTATGAGACCTGGGGATGATGAGAAGCCACCTCAATCCTGTTATGCAGTATGGTTTTGCCAACATAGCTTACTCCATGTTTGCCTTGCTTGAATTCCTCTTGTAGATTACCCAAATCTCATGTATTTGACACCCTACTGATATAATTTCTCTGCTGTCACCTTGGTATTCAACTTCTTAGTAACCCCTATTTACCTGCAATGATTTAACTCGGATCTCTGCCCCCGCCCTCCAGCAAGCACCTCACCTGCCCTGCTTCCATGTTATATGAAGTCCCAGCTTGATACTTTTGAAATAATAATAGTTTTGAAACAATTTAGATGATGAATTGGAGTGCTTAGTTATTGGATCATGTGTACTTCTGTGGCTTACATTAAAAAAAAAAATAATTACTATATTGAGTTAATAGAACTCTGCTTAGGTGAATTTTGGTTTCAGGCATTGTAAAGACAGTATATAATGCAGTGATACATGTCCATGTAAAAGATTTTGGAGTTTACATAATTTTATTTTGAAAAATATTCAGAAATGTAGGATGGATGCTCAATGCTACTGATGTGTTCAGTATTCATTTTCCAGCTGCATATTGTTAACCTGATATAGGGACAGGGCAAACGTGAAAATGAGAATAGTGGTGATTTTCTTCTGGCTGAGTAGAGGGACAGGACACAGTTTTTGTGGGGAGGGAGGAGAATGGAGCTGTTCTCCTTTTTAATTGTACTTTTTAGATGGAAGCAATAAAGCGATGTTCATGTATTACAGTAAGGCACATTGCAGAAAGAGGAAGTGTACGTGCAAGGCATATGTACAGAAATAGACACAAGACAGTTTTGAAAGCGGGGGGGCTGAGACCAGAGCAAAGCAATCCCAGGCAGCCTGGCAGGGCAGAAGGGTGGGCTACCCTCTGTCTGCCAGGGAGTCGCAGAGGGAAGGGAGAGCGGAGGGAGAAAGTGCTACATCCCGCTGTACTGGCTAGTGTTTACTGACCATTTTATGCATTTTTGTGTGCATTATTGGTTGGGGTTTTTTATCCAAGCAAAGATTTCCCTGGCCATATTAGCATAGTCGAAGAAGAGAACTAAAAAACAAGATGAAGAGATAAAATGATTATTTTTTTTAATTCTGAAAATTTCGGAATCAAATGTCGTGACACAAGAGAAGGCGCGAGAGCTGACTCATGATTTGCAAGTGCTGGAGGCTGATGCTGCCGTTTCCCCTAACTTCACTTTAAGAGAAGGGACATTTTTTCAGAGCTCAGGATTGCATACAATTGTGTATAGTTTCTGAGAGAAAGTTTTTCAGTGTGTGCTGATACACTTAAACTAAGGTGTGCAATAAACCAGCAAATTATTCTTTTCACCTTGTATTTAAATATGAAATGGAATTGATTAAAGTGTGGCGTTTGTGGTAAGGAAAGTACTATTCTCGACTCACAACACTCAAGACGTAATTTTTTTTTTTTTTTTGTCAGGTGAGTGTAAGTGTGAGGACACGTGGTCTGGATGCATAATGGGAGACACAGGGTAAGGCATTTCACTAGAGGAGTGTCATGTCCTTCATATAATGACGTAAAGGGAAGGTGTGAAAACATTTGCCTTTTGTGGGTCAGCAGAGTATTTTCTGTGAGTCATTTTTCAGAAAGTATTAGCTGTACAGCATACATAGAAAGGCCACTTTCAAAGAAAGGTGAGAATAAGTGGGTTAATGAGAGGGTATGTGAGGATTTTTGATGACTGGCTTAACTCACAAAAGCACAGGGCTCAGCAGGCAAGCCAAGTCATTGCAAAGAAGAAGAAGCAGAAGCATGCTTAGCTGATTTTCTCCTGCAAGTTTCCTACTGAATTGTGGGAACAAACAATGAACATCTTAATTCTTGAAATCCTATTATCACGTTTCATAAGTATGTCTCATTTTCAATGTTTCTGTTGGAATCTTTCATCTATATCTATCATTTTTTATCACCCAGTTTGTGTGATGATATTGGAAAAACTGCTCCCATGGGCACTTCAGTATGCTTGTACCCACATGTAATGTCACTGGAGAGATTTTATCTAATGACTAGTGAATCATCAAATTTTTGCAGCTAGATGAAATTTGATGCTTTCTAACATGTGTATTCAGATCTTAATTCTTCATATTACAGGCCTTTTTGTCATGTGTATGAATTAAACTACAGTCTAATTTTAGATATAGACAGTGCTCCAAATTCTTAAATTAATTTCACACTGACCTGCAAATTTTCACAATAGCTTTGTGGTCAGAACAATTTTGAACAAAGAAGCACATATCATTCAAAGCTCTTTGGAAGTGTGAATGTGTGCCTTTTACCTTGTCTGCCTAAAAACATACTAGGTAGGATTTTTCTGATTTTTATTATGATAAAACACCAATCTGAGAAGCATTCTTGATTCTTGTAAAAGTGATCCCTTATCTAATGGTCTTTAAATTTTTTATCTGAAGTCAAAACCTTTCAGATAATTAGGTACAAAAGAAAGCTTTTATTTACTTTGCTTATTGATGAAGGTTAGTGAATCCCACATTCTCTGTTGTCTTTAGATCTAAATTATAAACACTAGAGATGGAAAAGGCCAATTATGTTTTGCAAGCCATCATTCCTGGCAATGCAGGATTAATTTGTATAGCACTTCTGCTAGTATTTTTTGTATCCAGTGATGATTTGATAGGGGAAAGCCCTTGAGACTCCAAAATCTGATTGAAGCCTAAGTACATTTATGACGGAGGACCTAAATATAAAGATCACTTAAGCAACTCTGGGAAAAATTCTTTCCCTGTGGAAAGGATCCATGCAGATTCTCTGCCTCATATTGGTTTTAGGTGGTGCACTGTGCCTTAGGTTGGCAGTCTGTACTTGAATGGAATTTATTCAGTGGGACATGTGAGAGAGGGAGGCTGAAATGTTAGCTGATGTTTGTTAGAAGCATGTTTTAAAATGACATAACTCTATTGTATAAAAATTCTGTGGGCCAAGAGAGCAATTTCATCCAAGAGGGAAATGAATCTTTGTCTCCTGCAGTATGTATGGGAAGAAATTTCTGAGATCAGGTCTGTTAATGGAACAGGTCATATTTGTGAGAACTACTCAATGTGTAATAAGATTTGTGCATGAAATAACAGTGAAATGTTTCAGACCTCTTACTTGCCATGAGCTCTATGTCATTGGTTTTTGTCATTTACTAAAATGATTTACAGATTAGATAGTTACAAGCAGATGGTCACTCTGATTCTGAACAGTGTGGTTTTGTACTTTTTCTGAAGTATAACATTGTAATTCTCCTCCTATTTTGAAAAAAGAAAATCTAGTATAAAAAGCACTATAGAAATTAATCCTGCTACCTTATTTCTGTGCAGGTATTACCTTCCAAGCAAGTTCTCCAAGTGTGACATTGAAGAGTATCATGAATTTTTAAACAATGGAGGTGGAGCCTGCCTGTTCAATAAACCGACCAAAGTAAGCATTACCTTATTATTATTATTTCTGTTTTATTTCTAATTTAGATGAAACCAAGAAGAATGAAAACGATAATGTTGGAAAAAACAGTACCTGTAATTTTTGTATTTCTGTTTCTCTCTAAGTTCTAAACTTTCTGGTGACATATGAGTGAAAGTAGCTGGTTTTAGTTCATAGTAGTTTGGAATTTATACATAAATAATTTTTTAATAAGTGGTTTTGTGTCCAGAAGCATTCTTACATGCTTTGATCTAGAACCATTCCTCATGCAATTTGTTCTGAATGTTGTAAATAGAATATGTTACTGAATTTATTTGCTGAGGTTTCAAGTGTCTTGGTAAACTTTTGCACAGCCTGAATTCTAATTTGTGTGGCACTGATGTCTTGGTGCACATCTCTGGAAACTGAAGATTGCTTTTATTTCACATCTGTTCCAAGAGGAAGGCTCATAGAGCCTCTGCAAGGGGTGCATTGCCATGCAGCCCAGAGGCTTTGCAGGCACAAGTGGTTGTGATACTCTCCCTGACAGAGAAGACAAAGTTTTTTTACAGGGTCTCTCAGAATAGAGTTGGAAAACTGGGACTAGTTTTTTTAAAGCTGGGAGAGACAGAGCAGGAGACAAAGGCCCGAGGGGAAGGGGACAGACACTAGAAGAGCCCATGGCTGCTGGGCACCCATCACACTCTTTATTCCTTAGGTGCTGCCCACATGGTCCCCATTACTGTCATCAGGGTCTGTCATCCCCTCCACTGCATGTGCTGGGTGAGAAGCGTATCTGGTGAGAAGTGCTCAGATCATCTCAGCCCTGTGTTAGCTCCCTCCAGGACAGTGCGTGTCGCTCTGCACAGCCCTGCCTTGCGCTGGGCAGCCCCTCAGATGGGGAAGGCTGGCTAATCCCTGCGGGCCCCTGGTCCTCAGTGCCACTGTACCTCACCTCATTTAGCAGGGTGCATTACCTCCCTAAAGGCCTGGGGGTGTCAGAGCTACAAAAGCATTGGGACCCACTTAAATGACTGACCCATCCCCTTCAAATTTGCTTCTAAAGTACGAAATCAGAGATCTTGCTATATGAGTCTTGGAAATCAGTAGAAATGGGGAATATGTCTGGAGATAGTATTCACCTTTTCTTTGCTTCTCTTGTCTCAGTTTTGGCTTGCTAAGCAGGTGTGTTCACATGAAGGATGCAAAGAGTCTGACATGATTGACTGAGACATTTAAATACAAAACAAGGCTAAAGAAACTCCGGCCAAGACATGAGCTCTTCTACAATGAGGGGTTTGCAGTAGGGTTTCGGTATATTCCTGATCCATTTACTGAAGCGTGTTTTGAAATGTACAGTAACTAGGATGATGATCTTGACTCTTTTCTATATGTAATTAGTGTTATGCTCTATTTAATGGCAGTCTTGCAACAAGCAAACAAAAGAGGCTGAGGCAAAAAGACAGTCCAATATGGAAAAAAGACATGATAGCTGAGGTGGTCACAGATGTGAAAGGTTAATTCTGGAGTGATGCACATTCTTCCTGGAGCTGCTGAGAAAAAGTGCCTCTTCTGACAACCACAGAATTTCAATAAATGTTAGAGAGGGAAAAAGAAGTCATCAGATCTGGATGAGCTGAGTCTGCTTATCTCTCAAAGGTCTCCTTTTGATGGTAGAATGTATTACTAAAAGTGGAAAGCCATATCATTTGTTAATAAGGTGTAAGATTTTTTATTCTTTAAAATGTGTCTGCGTTTTAGTAGTTGATTTTTCCATCTCATTAAAGGTGAAGAGAAATATTGGTGGTTTTCTTTGCTGAGTAAATTGTTTCCATAGTGTAATATGTCTTTACTTGGGCTTGTTTTGGCAATTATGTTCGTTTACGCATCTGTCACTTGGAACAAAACTCTCATCTCAATTTAGACTGGCAGCATTTACAATTTTATCTAATGGCATGTGGAAATGTGAAAGTTAGATGTGGAAGTCAGTGTGATTTAGACTCTCTTATGTATTGTTGTTTGGGTTGGCTTAAAGTTATTGTCAACGGATGTCTCTCTAATTCACAAGCCTGTCAAAGACGCATTTCCTATCAAGGATGGTGAAACAAAAACTTACTTTTGCTTTTAAAGAAATATGAGATAAAGGAAAACTGGTGTGACAAGGTGCAGTGTTTGACAGTGCTCCACTTTAAGATCAGCTGTGATCCCAAAAAATACATCAAGAGCATATACCCTTTTCAAATGAGTGGATGATTTATATGACTTTTTGGGAAAAGTTCACTAATCTGCTTTTTTTTCCCTTCCATTTCATGTTTAGCTGTCCCTATATACTGCAGCAAATTGGCCCAATGTTTTAAGGCAGGACCTCCGTTACTGCCATCCACTTGTCTGTATTGTGCATCCCGCCTAGAGATATTGAAGATGTCTGGAAAAATACGTAGGAAACAAGTAGTTTTAACAACTCCATCCTGTGGGCTTCTGGCAGAAGGGCAGCAGCCAGAGACAAACGCACTCTACACCATGAGTGATGGACTGGTGCAGATGGCTCATAAACAGAGTGGTTTCTGGAATGATCCTAGATTAATTGGAGAACTCAGAGGAATGTCTGCAAAATTTTAGTCTTGGTGACAGACTTATATGACTTCTAATTTATATAATAAAAGCTACTATTACATTTTCTTATGCCCAAAGGAAAAAAACCCAACATTTTATTTTCTTTCTGAAGAATTACTTTTAGAAGTTTTAGGAAAACAGAAACAATGAAGCTGGAAGGAACCGACTATGAAAGTGTCCATTAGAAGAGAGCATAGCATGGATCCTATGTAAAAAATGGTGAATGAATCTTGCCTCTGAGAAAGTACTACTACAAATATACAGATTTAGACATTTTAAGTTACAGTTGTTGGGGAGGCCAAAGGGAAAGGGAGGAAGCCTCACCAGCTATACTTTCTCATCTGCCTGTGACACATGCTTATGGAAAACTGCTGAAAGTTCTTAACTGTGGTAGAGGAAAAGGGAAGGAAAAAGCATCCAACTACAACAAAAACTGACAAAGAAACCCAACATTTCTCTTTTCCCTGCATTTCTGAGCCACATGCTACCAAAAGACAATTTTTTAATGGCTATTCCTTATGAAATTATAATGCACACTTCAACCTGAGACACAGCCCTCATCACTTGAATTCCAGAACAACAGCAATTGCAATCCCTGTGACAATAATGAAAATGTCATATTATTTTACATTTTTACTTTATTGTCAAACCTTTTGTTTTTGATTGCAACTTGTACTCAGACTGAATCTGCTGTAAAAATGGCAATCATGTACAGAAGACACTATGTGACTTGGCTGTATTGCTGAAGTAATTCACAGCATTGTCGGTTCTCTGCTCATTTCATTCGTGTTGTTTCTAGTTTGCTTCACCCTGAGTTGTGGGTACTATTTTTCAGTTAATTCATTTGGAGTACTAGCTAAAAAACCATGTTGTACAGAGTGAATATGACAATGATTCCCTTATAAGAGACAAGCTATTTGATATCTGGTTTTGCCTTGCAGCTTCTAGATCCTCCAGAATGCGGCAATGGCTTTGTGGAAGATGGAGAAGAGTGTGACTGTGGGACAATAGCAGTAAGTGCAATGCACTTTAAATTACCAACTAGATTTTCCAGGACTTGGTGCTGCCCATCAAGACAGGCAATGTTAAGATCCTGCGGCAAAGGATTAATCATTTCTTAACTTTTTCCATCATGTTTAACACAATGCGGGCCAGCATTTTTATTTTATCACCACATAAATTCTGAAGACCAATAGTTAAAACTACCTGTGCAGAATCAGGCCTTAGAAGATGTTAAAAAAGTAGTTTCCTAGATGGGAACATGACTCTGGTCAGTGCTAAAATGTCAGTATTTAATGACAGGCTGTGAAGTTAGAAAAGTTATTTGCTGTATTGCGTAGGAAACAGAGGCTTCATGCCCCACCCTTTTCTGCATGCAGGTTCCTAAAGGCCTGGTTAAAAATCTGTTCACGTAGCATGCTAAGACAGCTTGCCTGCTTTTCCCGTGTATTGTGTTATTATCATGTGTGTTCCTCAGGAGTGTGCCAATGAAGGAGGAGAGTGCTGCAATACTTGCACCCTGACGGCAGGCTCCCAGTGCAGCAATGGGCTTTGCTGTCGGAAGTGCCGGGTAAGGGCAGTGACCTTCACTGCAGCATCCTGGGGGGAAGGCATCCAGGTGGCTACAGGCACCACATGTCTTCTTTCTTGCAGACCTCGTGACTCCTCTTCTGAAAGCTTGCCTTTTAAAACTGGCTGAAAATTGGTTTGTGTGGGGCTGTTCTCTGTCTTTTAGGCTTGGGTTCTTGGGGCATGGACTGTGATCAAATGCAGAGCTGTTAAAGCCTTCCAGTTTCAGACAAATTTGAATCAGGTTGAAATTCCACGGGGTTTCATTAGATGTCCTTGTTTAATCATGCACGTACTTACCCATGTGTTGATCCCAACACCTTACATGTTGCTCTGGATTTGCCCCATGAGACTGAATGGGAAAATAGTACCACAGATGCCAGAGAGAAGGATGTAGTAAAAAAACCCCAACAAGCCACAGCTAACAGAATTATTCAGAAGTGTTCATCTAAAAGACACCAGATTTCAGTTTTAGTTAGGTCTGCCAGCTGATGTTTGGACTGACTGAAATCCAGCTGAATAAAGGGAATCAAGCCCCATGTAAACTATAAGGTATTCTTCCTCATACATCAGTAAATAATAAAAGGAGGTTTACCCAAGTCTTGGCTGTAAGGGACCCAAGCTAAATATGACTTCAAATAGATGTTTGTACTCATTTAGTAATAATGACAATTATTATTAATGTTATTAAAGCTGTGGTGTGCTATGTGTGATATTTTTGTCCTTATCTGTGGGCATCTGAGGGTTTAATTTCCTTAGGAGAAACATTAGTAATAACTGTGGACCATATTCTTGACTTTGTGCACATCCTAATGTTAAAAAAAGAAAAAGCACAGATTATGCTGCAACAGGTCACATTTCCCTAAGCACATTGCTTTTTCTAATGTAATATAAAAAAAAAAAAAAAAAAAAAAAAAAGCAGATTGCCAGTGTGAGTGAATTTTGTTCAAGTATCCAAGTCCCATAGGCACCATAATAAAGACTATCAGAAAAAAATCAAGCTTCTGTGTACCTACATGATTTTTGCAAATGAGGCAAGGGTTTATCTACATACAGAGTGGTGAGGGTGAGCCAATGAAGACAAGGGCAGAATTTTGCAAAACACGTATCCCTAGGAGGTGTTAATCAGGACAACTAAAAAGACCATATGTAACAGTTCCCAAACATGGGGTTACCTTCCATCGTAAGACCCAGCCTGAAAGCAGCAGTGAAGGAGGGTGTCACGTCCTGCTCAGATGAGGGAGACAAGTGACTCTCGACAAGAGTCACTCAGACAAGAGACTTTCATCTCTCACAGAGGGGTTCCAAGCAAAACATGGTGAGTGTACATCCCTTCAGCCTGTAGTATCTCTGACAATGCCCCTGTCTGTCTGCATTTTTCCAGAGGCTGGTAGGAAAAAGTTAAGCTGAAGGCTGAGAAAGTACCAAGAGTCTAGCTAGCTCTTCCACTGACATGTGCACGTTCACACCAGCTGTGGAGTTAGCAGTTGTCCCCAGAAAAATGTATGTGCTTGCAGATCCAGGGAAAAAAGTCACAGAGCTGCAAAATGAACTGAATATCACAGACTTAAGAAACCTTTCAGACAAAATAAGGGGTCTGTAGTATGTCCATGACCAGAAGCACTAACAATTGCCACAAACAGGATGACTTCCTTCTTTTATAGGTCTTGCGACTTAGCACAGAAGTCTTGAACCAAAATGCCTCTGTTAGGCCACTGGTACATTTTTCAGTATTAAATATCTGGTCACTTAGGAAATGGTGTCAAACCATAGAATTCAGTATATAATTAATAGTTTCTGTTCTGCAGCAGTAATGGGGCATTTTAATAACCGTAGTGTTTATAGAGTTTTGCAGTGTTCTTCATCCCTAGAGAGAAGATCAGGATCACTCTCCCTGTTTTATAAAGAAGAGTAAAATAGTCACAAAAAGGTGCAGTGACCTGGTCAAGATAATGCTGCAAGTCACTGCAGTATTGGTTTGATAAACCCCATGGGTCCTGTGTCCCAGGAGAGCACTTATCCTGCTCAGCCCCGCACTCGATGCCCTTGGGAGGAGGTGCCTCAGAGAGTGGTACCACTTGCACCAGTAAACAGCCAGTGGCTTGAGTGGTGCAACGTCTGCAGCAGGGAAAGGAAAGTCTTCCCACTTCAGTCAGCACATGAGTATTTCCCTTTTTTGAAATTCGAAGAAAGAAGTGCATTCAAAGCAAGATGTGGAGACACCAAGACACTAATTTTCTGTTGTTTTTTTCCAGTTTGAACCTAAAGGAGTTTTGTGCCGAGAAGCGGTGAATGATTGTGATATTGCAGAGAACTGCACAGGAAATTCCAGTCAGGTGATTTTTATATCTTCTATCCAAGAGATGAGGAAAACCCACCTGTAGTCTCTCAATCACTATGAATGTTGCCATTTTGTATAGTAAGGTTTATAAACATTGTATTAAAGTTGCTAATACTGAAAAGACTAGCATGATATTGAAATAATTTTCCATATGACATTTGTTGTATGTTTTTCTTCCATGCTTGTATGATCTATTAGTTATTATCTCTTTCTATAGTGCTCTCCCAATATTCATAAAATGGATGGATATTCCTGTGATAACAAGCAGGTAATTAGTGCTTCAATTTGTTTTACATTCTTTCTGCTTTTATAGATTGCTTTTTGTAGATTTTGGTTTAGGATCTTTGGAAGTCACCTGGGACAGTTCTGTTGACATTCCTGCATTTTGAGTGCTAGTTACATTTTAGAGCTAAGTATTTAAATGAACAGAAAGTAGAATCACATATTAATTGCCTCAATAGAAAGCATGTGACAAATCTGTATATTTAACAAATACATATTTTGGAAAATGAAGTTATTTTAAACTTTTTCTGTATCTTTTGTTTCTTTCTAGGGTATTTGTTTTGGAGGAAGATGCAAAACCAGGGACCGGCAGTGTAAATATATCTGGGGTGAAAGTAAGTGAATGTTTCTAAGTTGGTTGTTGTTCATGTGGCTCAAAAGATTATCTTACCTGAGAAAAATTATGGAAGAGACATATGCAGAACCATTAACACCAGCTGGACTGTATGTCTCTCCCAGTCTTCCCTCCTCATTTTGTCTTTCCATCTTCTTTTCCAGCTCTTTCTGTAGTGTTGGTTAACTTACTGGTGATTATGCTGAAATCTTAGGTTTAACCTCTCATTAATAACCACCTCGGGAGCCTACGCTTCTGGACATTTTGGACCAATAAGCCCTGGCCAAACTGAGCTAAATCTTAAAACAGTCCTGTGGTGCCAACATAAAACTTTCCATTGAGAACACTCTGCAGAGTTTCACAGGCCACCTGCAGACCACTGATACTGCAGTTCGCAGATTGGGAAGCTCTGCTTGCTTTGATTATGCATCTCCATTTCCCAGGAGCTGGCTTTTAGAAGTCTTCGTCATCTTAGAAGAGATTTGTTTCTGTTTTCAGAAGTGACAGCTGCTGACAGGTACTGCTATGAGAAGCTAAATATTGAAGGGACTGAGAAAGGCAACTGTGGAAGAGACAAGGACTCTTGGATACAGTGCAATAAACAGTAAGTTGATCCATTTAGAAAACAACTGCGATTTTTATCCTTGCTATAGTTCTTTAGCTGGCATGAAGAGGCTCAGAAAACCTCTGTACAGAACAGACTTCTGGCCTTCTTCTGCAGACCTTAGTGCAGCAAATTCTGGAGGGAGAGGAGTGTTGAGAAAAGATGATCTCTGACAAGAGAGCACCGCCTGAGCTTTGGGAGCACTTGGACCAAAAGTGGTCCTAGTATGCTTGGTGAGGCTTAGTGCAGAGGAGAGTGGCCTGTGCTTTCATGTCTTGGTGTGGTGTTCACCTTGTATGCTGTGCCCTTGCATTGCAAAGTTGTGTTCGGTTTTCATTGCCTTGTAACCCTCCACATCTTTGCCTGCAAGTTGCTGCCTAAACCATTGTTTCACATTCTGTATTTATGCAGTTGATTATTTCTGCCTATTTCTGAACCTTTTGCCAGTTCTTATCAAACTGCACCCTGATTTTTGAGATGAATTCTCCATTCTGTCAATGCTATTTGAATTCTAGTCCTGCCTACAGGTGAACTAGTGACCCTTCCCACCTTTCTGTGCAGATTTGATAACCTACCTTTTTTTCCAACACAAATTAATGACTAAAAAATACTCAGTAATATGGGAGAGGCCAGACAGTACACAAGTCTCCACACGAGTTGTAAAGTCCCTTCAACAGCCGAATTAAACTTGGTGTCTCTAGTTCCCTTACATATGTGTCATACGAGAGTTTGTTTAAATCCAGTATCTACTGCTTCTCCAATATGGGCACGTTACTGTATCTTAATAGGATATTAAATCAATTTGATGTGGCTTGTTCTTGACAGCTCCTTGCTTGCTATTACTCAGAGCACTTTTGATAATACATCTTAAAAAAAGACTTTTCCCAGTCTAAGCTGAGAGAGGAATAATTTTCTTGGGAAGCAAGACATTATTTATGGGAGTTACTGTCAGTGGGAGAAAAGCAAGGAATAGCAAATATGTTATAAAGCAAGTGAAGAAAACCACATTTTGTTGACTGTCCATTTTCATTGAATTTTCTTTTCAGTGGGTATCTGTTTATTCTCTCAATGCAGGGATGTGCTTTGTGGATACCTTCTGTGCTCCAATATATCCAGTGTGCCTAGACTTGGAGAACTTGATGGTGAAATCACATCATCAATCTTGCAATTTGGAAAAGTCTACAATTGCAGGTGATTGGAAATCCTGGAAACAGAACAGACAATCAATATTCATCTTGCATGGAAAAGCAGCTTTCTCATTTCTAAGTGGAGAACAACTGTTTTCCATTAAATTTTTTTTTCCTATTAACACATAACCATTATTCTAGCTCAACCTTTGTTAAGCTTCAGGAGCTTGACTACTTGTGGGGAGCGCAGCTGTTTTGCAATCCCCTCTGTGTAGTAGTTAATTTTGCCTGTAGAGACATAATGCTCTTCTCTGGCCTCTTGAGTTTACATTCTTCAATGTTTGTGAAGTACTTAATGTACTCAAAATACTTAGACATATGCCTGCACTGCCAAAGCTAACTGGCAGCTTAATATGTTGCCATATGTTAGCTGAATCCCAGTTATAGACCTGGTGTGTTCTCATAGCTTCACACAACTGTAAGATGAAATGAAGTCCTATACAAGTAAACTCAAATGTTTTATCCAGTGCTAGCTTCTACACAAGAAAAATGGTCTTTGTTTCCAACTTTGCATTTGTCTGATGTAGATATACTGCATTTTGGTTTGTTTCATGTTAGGGCCAGTGAGATACATAAGCCAGTACTTAACTCCTTCCTGGTCCTGGGCATCGTATAACAGACAGAAGTGAAGGCAGCAGCCCAGAGCCCAGTTTCTCAAGCAGTCCCATCTAATCACAGCACAAGTCTCCATGGTCCTCTTGGTTGTCTTGCAGTGGTGGCCATGTGAAACTCGATGAGGAGACGGACCTGGGTTATGTGGAGAATGGGACACCGTGTGGGCCAAACATGGTGTGCCTTGAGCATCGCTGCCTCCCCACCGAGGCCTTCAACTTCAGTACCTGCCCAGGCACCACAGACAGCCAGATTTGTTCAGGACATGGTGTATGTTCTTGTTCTCTTTTAATCCTTTTTTCTGTTTTTGCTGAGTATCTGACACTGTGTAGTGTACTAGCTAGACCTTTCAGGACGCCAGCAGTGTGACTCTAGAACTCTTTATACTGGAGAAGCTTTTGAAAAGGAAAAGGGGAGGAGTCACATAAGTAAACATAATGCATACCAGTCAAGGCATCTTAAACAGTGAGTCACAGTAAGTACGTATTAGTTTTGCAAAGATTTTTATCAATCAGTTCTGATATTTCCCCAGGTAACATACTGGAGAATAGCAAGATCTAAGTACTAAAAAATTTGGGTCTCTGTTCTTCTAAATGCTCTTTTTAATTCCCTCTGTAATGTGTCAATAGTCAAGAAGGTTCATAGAGTTCGATTTTGTTGGCTGAGAGCTACTTGTTCTAGAGAAGAGGGCAGTGAGCTGGCTCTTGGGTAGTGGCAGCTCCTCTGCTCAGTGCACAGCCTATGGCTTTTCTGTGGCCCTGGTGAGTCCCTTTGTCCCTCACAGTTTTAAACAGTGTCCAGGCCCCTACAGCTGAGCTGAGATCAAAGGAGTTGTTCTCTCATAATGCCTTTTGTCTTTTATGCTGCATTAAAACTCCCTTTTTAATCTTAATTAACCACTTCGTCATATTTCAGAAAAACAAAATTACTTGAGGTTCAGAGTATTTAAAAGCAATTATAAATGGCTCTATTGAATATAATATTAAAAAGATAGTAAGGTACGTAATATATTTTACATATATTTGTATATAAAGTATAATATATTCAATACACATCTAATATGTAAATTTTTAAAAAGTTGTATATTAAAAATGTTTTTCAGAATTTTGCAGGCAGTCAAAATCAGTGCTGTACGACTGTACCTATACCATAGGTATTAATTACAGGAATAGATTAATTTTAGGATTTTATTCTGAGCTACACTTTTGGCTGCAGGTTTGTAGCAATGAAATAAAGTGTGTCTGTGACCGATTCTGGGGAGGAGATGACTGCAGTTCTCGTATCAAAGATGATATTTTTTTTGATAAAGATGCCATCAATAAAGGTACGTTATTATAATTTTTACCAATAACTGGAAAAGCTTGTATTTGAGGACGGCTCATTAAGCAAAAATAGATCTCCTACTCTTTCAATTAGCATACAACCTGATGCACCTTTTGGAGCCTCATTCCCTTCCCTTCCTCCCATGGCAGCAGCACTCAGTGTCTGTGAGTGAGGTCAGAGACCTGGGTATGGCTGTGAGCAGTGCCACTCATAAGCACTCAGTACACCTCTTGGGACTGGTACCAGTGTGTCTGATTGCACCTTGCTTGTCCCTATCATATGAGTGGCCTTATTAATTATATTGATAGATTAGGACAAGCAAAAAGTTACTGGGACTTTTTATATCTAGATGGAAAGGTAGTGTTACTTACATGACCATTTATTTGTATAGTCAGTTTTTTATTACATGGCCAATAAGCAGGATGTTGGCACACAAATTCCAGGCTTTTACATTTTTTAAGTGAAGGTTTTTGTTCAGCTTGAAGCTTGCATACAAAGGAAAGATGTGTTGTGGAAATATGAGGGTGTAAATGTTTTTCATTATAAATCCTTGTGGTGGGACAATTTTACCATCTTCCAGAATGTCTCTTGGTTAATTTATTCAGCTATGGAAGGGATTAGAGCAACAACAAACAAAAAAGTCACTTTTGTTCCAGTGTAAGCATGTATTTTTCAGGCAGGTTATAAGGATGTAAGCTACAGCAGTTTCATATTGCTAACATTATATTGGCATAGCTGGCACAACTTTCCCATGTAGCAAGTGTTCGGTTAAGAGAAGTAGACACAAAGGTCAAAGCTTGATTTACAGGTGATTTTTTTATGTCCGTGCTATATTCAAGATAGTATCACTGGTTACAATTAATCAGGCTAGTGCAAGTTGTCCAAGCAGGTTTTTGAAAGTCAGTGCATTTACTGGTTTTGTATATTTTTCTCCTAAAACCCTGTATATTTTTTCCCTTTTCTTGTGTTTCCAGGTGTTGTTAGCACAAATATAATAATAGGAGCTATTGCTGGCACCATTTTAGTGTTGGCTCTCGTTTTAGGAATAACTGGTTGGGGTTACAAGTAAGTAAATTGTGTTCTTCTTAATACAGTTAAAAATATGTTTATTTCGTCTGATAGCTAATTATGTTATGAAAAGAACAATTCAAACATAATATAAAAAATCAAAATTGGATTATATTTGTACAGTGACATTTTTATAGTGTTAGCGTTTTTGAAGCAGTTCTTACATGTGTATATGGTTTTGGAGAGCTTGATCCAGGTTTGAAATTTATTTCTTACTTAGCTATTGCTTTTCTTCTTTTGTAGATGATGAGATTATAATTTTACTGTATCTCACAAAGGAAATACAAGAATACAGTCTTAATTCAATTATAAATCTCTCCTAATGATGAAATAAATTTAGCAGGATTAGCCTTCAGTCAGTCAGTAAAGCATTTAACCATAGGTTTCCTTAAACAGATGTTTCTACTCAGTCAGCTTAACACGAAATTAATTCAGGCATCTTTTTGGTAAGAGAGATCTGTAATTTGCAAATAAGGTGCAAATTCTCTTCTGGTGTAGAGCTGTCAGTGTCTGCTTGCTGAGAGGCAAAATAGATTATTTTAGCCTGACTGATCTTTTTCAGTTTTCCTCCTTTCATGAATTTCTTCTAAAAAACAGGGGGAGTTAATTTTTTTGTATGTGTTAAAAAAAAAAGATTCGATGTACTTGCTTTGTCGCCTGTGTTTGGGTGAGAATGGCTCTTGAAGTCCTTCCTCCACAGGTCCTTGGTGTGCTTGGAGGGCACGTTCAGCTGTGGGCAGTGCTGTAGCTGGGACACAGCCCCAGCAGTTAGGTGTAACAAGCTGGCACATCCCCTGCTGGTTTGTTAGACTGAGATTGAACTGCCCTCAGCCTGAAACATGTAAGAAAGGAAGCACGTTTTTTTTGAAAAAAACGTGAAGATTAGATAGTAAAAAGGTAGGTTATGCTGTCTTGCTACATTGCTCTCAGCTTCTGGCAATACAAAAATCTGGACTTACTATTTTGAATACAACTCAAAAATTTAAAGGCTCATTTTGAGGTCACATCTAGCCAGTGCGATTAGTTTTTGGAGGTGGAGGACAAGAGTGCACCTTTCACTAGCAGCTTCAGAGTGACTAGACTTAAACTCATCATGAACTGCACCTCCAACTCAGCATTGACTTTAGCCATCAATATGAATATATTTTCCTTGTTTATTCTGATTTAGTATGTTTTATTTCAGAAGTGCTTCTGTAGAAATATTTTGAGCAAAAATTTAATTCTGCATACGTTACTTTTTTCTTTACATTTTTTTCTCTTACTGACCATGTATATTTGCATACTGATGACTCATTCTTATTTCTTTCTCTTCTCTTTGTATGGAAAGAAACTACAGAAGACAGAGGTATGTGATAAAAGTAATAGAACGTATATTAGAAAGTTCTGAAAATAGCTTTTATTCTCTCTTGCTCATTTAGATGCTAGACAGAAAATACAGCAATCACTATATTTTCTATAAAGAAATACAGTGATCTGAACTGTATGGAAAGGAAAATACAGTAATGAATTATATTTTAAAGAATATTTGCTTGCATATATGAAATTGATATTTATTCTCTAAAGACATTGCTTGAAATTCTGATTTCACTGGACTCAGTAGCAAATATAATGTTTACTTCTGATGTAGACTGTTGTATTTAGGAAAACAGGAGAATATTTCCAGTAAGAGAGACTGAAAATCTGCTATTAGAGATGACAGTGTTCTTGGGAGGCTGAGAATTGAATGATTAATATTAATATGATGTTCAGGAACCTTTTGAGACAAATTCATTCCTGGAGCTTCTTTTGTGGTTAAATATACAATGCATTAAAATTGCTGTGCAAATGAAGAGCCCATTCCTTCCCACCACCCTGCTCAGTTGAGTTGTAGCTAAAGCATGGTACTGTCTTCAGCACAGGGCTGAGTTTTCATCCTTTCAATCTTGTGGCTAAAAACCAAACAGTTCCCCGTGACTCCCCTTTGGCTCCTGAAGACCATCTATCCTGTCATCAGCATCTGCCTGGCAGACTGGTCTTCTGGAATGGAGTTGGCTCCTTACTCTCCCAGCCCTCCACAGATAAGAGGGTTTCTCAGATTCTCCTGTTTTCTGACTGTATCACCACCTTCTGATCCAAGCTACTGCTTTGTTTGTTGCTGCTACCTGTTGTGCTTGTTCTCCATTTCCCCTGCCTGTGTAGTGCTTTCTCTGCCAGGCTCAAAATACTTGTAAAAAGCAGAAAAGCTCTGCCAAGTGCTGGTTGTGTACTACAAGGTCAGATAGTTGGCAGGAACAGTAACAGGAAAAAGGCAAAACTGTTGAAGTAAAGCCTTATGGAGAGGTTGGTGGGTAGTAAATGTCACCTGGTACAAAGAGGGCAGAATTTCAAGGTTTGGTGCTGCTCAGGGGCACGTGATGTAGCTACAAGTGCAGACTAACATGGCCATTGAGTCACTTCACTGTAGATGTTTCAGTGTTGGCTGAGGACAGAGCAGCCAGAACCTTGAAATACAGAGATTGCCCCATACATGTTTACGTTGGAATATTAGTGAATCTAACTTTTTCAGATTCCCTCATCTCCAAAAATGAGTAGATGGACAGAGAGCTGTGAGTATGCAGTCAGTCTGCGTTTGTGTCTGAGGGCAAGGGCAGAGTGAAAACTAGCATAAGCTGAGGCTTTTGAAGATGATGTAGTTACTAAGTAACTACATCTTCATGCAGAAAATTAAGTTCTGTAGGCTGATTTTAATTTTGGATATGTACAAGGAGTACTCCATAAATGGAAAAAGCAAACATCCACCAGAGTGTTCAGAGTGTTTTTTTTAAAACTGTTTACAATTAGGCCATAAATAAAGATGAAAACAAGCCATTGAGGTATTTTCAAGCATTACATAAGGAACGATATTTGGTAGTACTAAGCAACTGAAATGAGTAGACTGAAAATAATAGAGCAAATTAACAAGGGTTCTGCCAGCTGGAATAGTGTGGCTTAAAGGGCACAGCTTTGTGAGAGAAATAATTTCTGATGGGGTAGTGAGAGGACAGTTGGCTGGAGGAACCCTGGGGAGCACAGCTGCCCCACGCTGAGTCAACTCTGAACACACTGATGGCTGGGAATGGGACAAGAACCGAGACTAAAGAGGTGTTAGAAGAAATAGTGGGGAGGTATTGCATTACACTAATGATTTATGTGCCAAGTAATTATATATTTTAAATACTTCAGGAGCATTAGAAATCAGATATGGAATTAAGAGAGCCCAGATGAAGTCTGTAGTTGGACACAGTTTGAATGTGACTATGATTTCTGATAAATGCTCATCTTAATAGGGGCAGACTGAGGCAAAAAGGCCTTGGAAAGTGCAAGGCTGAATGGATAACTAAACTGCTGGTACTACGATATAGTCAACTTCCAAAGTAGCTACTTGTACTAGGGAGGATTTTTCAACTTGGTGGAACTGTAACTGGAATATTTACAGTTCTTCTGCTGGCAATGAATTCACCATCTGTAAAAAGGGTGTGTAACTTGATTAGGACTTTCTAGTTCATAGTTTTATGCACCAAAACTGAGCTTCTAGTACTGGAAAAGGATAAACTACTGTCAGGTGTGTGTGGCACTCTTTTATGTGTCTTGGCAGATTGAGTGTGTTGTGGTGACTGGGAGTAGCTGAGAACCTCTGACTGGCGTTAGGTCCCCAGCACAAGAGAACAGTTAATAAACTGGAGGGTTTTCTCCTCCTGAGGTTTAAACAACTCAAAAGGTTGCTATTGAATTCAATAACGATCACAAAAATTAAGAGAAAAGCATCTATCTCAGAAGGAAGAAAAACATTCAGTTTCCTGAACTCCTTTTTGATCCAGGCATGTGTTTCAGCTCAGGCTGCAGTATTTGTACTGCACCTGGGGATGCTTTTGACAACCGTAGTGAAGAGTCAGTTGAAATACCTGAACTGGGTTATCCAATGTCTCAGGAACCATAAACAAACACTCTGAAAACTACAATCGGAGTTTATCAGTGAAATGTTCCTTGCTTTCCCCTGCTAAAACCACATAATCCACTTTTCTTCACATATTAGAAGTATGCAGGAGTATTCTCTCAGATGGTTGAATTATTTATTAACAGGTTTATTGTGTGTAGTTAACATTTTCCTCAAGGATCCCTAGCCTTGCCTTTTTCTTTTAAACTAATATTTGTGCATGTTTGTGTGTGTACTGATACCTGTCATGTTTTCTGACTCTACGATGTTTATTATGCTTTAGACAAATACCCCAGGGAGATTATGTAAAAAAGCCTGGAGAGGCCGACTCTTTTTATAGCGACATGCCTCCTGGAGTCAGCACAAACTCTGCATCTAGTTCTAAGAAGAGGTCTGCTTTTCTGTCGCATTTTCAGATTTCTACCTGTTCCATCACCCATTATTCCATTAGTCAGAACATTTCATTGTTTTGCAGCAGGTTTGATTCTTTCTTCTTTCTTTGTGGAATGTTTGAAATAGCATCCTTTGTGCTTTGATTACTGATTGTTCTCACATGCCCTGAGCCACAAATTATTAGGCCAGCATAAACAAGTTTTCCATTGTAAACCAATTTTACGTGAATCAGATTTTCGTCATCTCCCTGCTTGAAAATTGTTTTCAAGTAAACTTTAATAATAATTGCTGGCTCAATTAAAGAATAAATAAAAACCCCACGTATTTTTAAATCATGGTCATGTAATCAAAGAAAAGGAACACTGTCTTGCTTCAATAATAGTTATAAACATAAACTGTTCAATATAAATGTTATTTTTATATCTGTATTTGTCAATGTCATTAATTCACTGAGTTGACCTAGACTTCTGGATAATAATCTTGCTGTCTCACATTAAAGATTATGGTGCTTGCATATTATTAGACTAGTATACTAAATGGTCACCAAGTATTATCTTAGAAAATAATCCTACAAAGACTTCCTGTAGTTTTATGCTTGCTATTATGAGTAACCAAGGAGGGCACTGGATTTTGCCCTTGATCAGATTTCACTAATTTTGTTATTGTTCCAGTTACTTAAAAGACCCCAAATGATTTTAAAATGGAAAGTTCATTGTAAACATTGCGAGTCATTTGTAATTGCTAAGGTTATTAGGTCATGATGCTCACCATTCCTCAGCAGTTACAAGACCCTTTAATTATTAAAATCTCTAGCTAGCAATTTAAAACAATTTATGAGAAGCACTATGTCGTAGGAGGGACAGACAGTCCTGAACTGCTTCATAAGAAAATGGCAATTCTCAGTTCTTGTCTTGCTGAGTAGTCTATCTAACTATGCAGTTGATGAAGCCCTTTTCTTTGTTGTTATATCAAAGAAAGTAAAGAGAAATGTATGGAAGGGATGCAGTGACATTTGCTGTTTGGGTATAGTAGCTATATCTTATATGCAACTTCTTTTAGTCTGTTCTAATGAATATTTTGTTTGGAAGACTGTAGTATTGATTAATTGATGATTTCTAATTTTTAAATTCAGCTTTATAGGTGTGTGATTAATTTTTTTTTCCAGGAAGCACTGTTTGTGCTGGAGAATCTTTACGTGTTTGGATAAAATTTTGAAAAATGTCCTGGGAAAGCAAGTTTTAATAGCTTTGGTTAAGCAGGTTCAAATACCAGTTAAGAAAGAAGGTTTTTTAAATGAATGTCATTTAATGCGTTTCTTCTTTCATTCAGTATCTGTGTTTCTTTTCATACGTCATTTCTTTCATGTGCCTCTGTTTATTATTTGTTCCAAAAAGCGAATGGTTTCTAAGGTCTGTCTGTACTAGAGAGTTTTGTTGTTCCCCACCACCAGTTCAGGTATGTTGTGCCACTGTCAAGTCTGGAAAAGTAAGTCTGACAAATACTCCATTAACATTGTGGTGGAGCTGACGTAGTCCTTCCATCTGAATACTCAGAGTGCTATTTCTGCCTTCCAAGCTGGTTTTGATTTGCTCTGCTCAGTCAGGTACTGATGGTGTGTGTCTCTTGGCCGATGTTGGAGTGACTGGGCCATTAGCTGCCTGGGTTTTTGCATGCTGGAAAGCACTATGAAGTGTTAGCTGGTATTCAGAGGATGATCAAGGATTAAGACATAACTTTATGATAACTCTTGCAAATCTGAAATATGATATAGCAAGACATTCCTGAACCTGCAAATGGACCTTTAGGAGGAGAAAATTATTAAAAAAATTGTCAGTGGATCTGCTGGTTCTGAGACCTTTTGTTCTGTAATTAAGTTTGAATTAATGAAACCCTGGGCTTACTTCAGTGTGGCTGTGATTAGCCTGGTCTTCTGGAAACTGAAGAGCATCTCTCAGATGCGTGCCCTCCAAGGAAAGCAGAGGCTGAAAAATGCAAGATTATCTAGACTTAGACACTACAGAAATAGTTCCTTTAAGCAAATCTTTATAATAAATAAGCCATCTATTATGACCAGTTTTCAACTTCCTCTTGTTTTCTTGTCTTTTGGAAATAGTTGTGATCTCTTGGCAAACAGCTGAGCAGCAGCTCTACTTCAACAGGAGGAGCCTGTTGCAAAATCCTGTGTGTTGGACATCACCACACACATCTCTGGCTCTTAGAGGGAATACAAGAGAAAGAAAAAATTTACTTTGCACCAAGCACCTCGATATAAAGACTGCTTTTGGCTTTGAGTTTAGTATTAGAAGTATATACTGCAGTGACTGGCTGACAAAACATAATAAAAATTCAAAATTAGCAAAAATGTGGCAGTTATCCCTCCACTGGACCTACCAGCTGTGAGTGGGAGGATGCTCATCATGGACTCCTGGGCCCCTGAGACTGGTAGTAGTGGGGTGAGAGAAGCAGTTCAGGCTTTCCTGCAGCAGCACAGGGAGGGAGTGGGCAGCCTGCAGGTGGGATGTGCTTGACTGTAGGACTGAAAAACCTTGAGCTGAGCACAGTTGGAAGAGCATCTTCCAGCTAAGAACTGAGGCAGAGCTGCAAATCCAAAGGAAAGCTGGTGTGCGCTGGTGTTTGTGCTTTCCACAGCAGACATGCGAGAAAGCAGTGCTGAAGCCTGGCTCTTGAACGTGGGCACACCAGGCTGCTGCAGGGACAGTTGTGAACCATAACTGCAGGGTTTAACCAGGAATCCTGGATGCTCTGCTAGTGCAGACAGACCTTAGGCTATGTTATGTCACCGGCCTCGGGAGTGTGACTCAGTAAACAGCTGAGCTAACATTGATGTGAGACAATACCCTTAACAATAACCGCATCTGAGCCCTCCTATTCCAGGTCAAATGGATTATCTCATTCCTGGAGTGAAAGGATCCCAGACACAAAACATATTTCAGACATTTGTGAAAATGGGAGGCCTAGGAGTAATTCTTGGCAAGGTAAGTGTGAACCTCTGTGCTGGCCACAGTGGAACCGGACTCTGGGCCATTTCTGAAAGTTTAGCTAATCTTAGGACAACAGCAGGACTCCTTAAAATTGTGCTAATCGTTATTAAACCTGGAATGGGGATTTAGCAGCACCCTACATAAATATCTTTTTGCACAATGCTTTGTCACATAGAAATGATATTTAATTTCTCCCGTTCCTCCAGTGTGAGCTAACATGAAAAAGAGGAAGAAGTCTATCCAATCTTACCAGCTTCTGTGATTTTATCAGGCAGTGTTTAGTATTTTTCTTGAAGTGTAGTGATTTTCTCAAATGAAAGGTGAAATTAAGGAGTTTTTTCTCTGCACAGTTGCAGCAAAAAGTAGAGAAAGATCACCCACGTGCCAAGTTTAGCTGGTCTGAGGTAAATCAACAGTCACAGAGCTGTGACTTTTAAATGTTCAATGCTAATGAGTTAATGACTTTTTTGCTGGGGATGCAAAAAGAATATGCAGTTTGGCATGGGACGCAGGTGAGTTTCAAGTTGTTTTACCATATGTCTTTATCCTTTGATTTCTTTCAGGTAATATAGGAGGAAACAGAAAGAAAGTCAGAGGCAAAAGATTTAGGCCACGGTCTAATTCAACTGAGTAAGTCTGAACTTATAAAAGCAAAGCCAGAAAGTACAGTTTTCATATTTGTGTCTTGTAGATGGAGATTAAGAGTACTGAAAAGTAGACAGCTTCATTTTTGCTCTGTGGCCCATTCTGATTGCTGACTGATAATCTGGTAAATGGTTTGGCTCATGTATTTCAACCTCTTTTTATGTATTCTTTAAAAATTAACTATCAATTTTCTTTTTTATGTAGGCTTCCTCACAGTCGTTCCCATAGCAATTCCCAATGATGGTGGCAGCCTGCACCATCACTGCAGGCTTTTATCTACAGTAAACTGCCATTGCTGAGTGTATCCTGGTTCACTACTGAATTTTTGATAACCTGTTTCCTACCCTTGTCTTCACCCTGGGTTGGGCCATTGCAGAGTTAGAGATCTATATCTCCAAGTACCTGCCTGGAAGTTTTAGGAGAGTTATCTGTCTGCTTTGAGAGTACCCTGAAGGTTATTGTTGTAAGCCTGAAACAGCCATCTGAATAAGCCCTGCGATAAATGGGTAATGAGAGTTCTTATCAAGCGATTGATCCCTAGACCTTTTCAGTATAGCTTAGAGTTGCTTTCCCATTGATTTATTGGTTACATTTACTGAAGAGTCCATGTGTGCAGTGCTCCCCATAGGGAAAGAGCCTTTCTTATGTACTTAAGCCTGCCTGTTCAGGCTCCTTTCATGGATGAATGGTGAATGGCTGGAAACATAATCTCTGTCAAGCACTGGCCTGCTCTTGCAGCACTTATGCCACATGGGAGTGGCCCCTCTTTGACCATGGTAGCAATGACAGTGCCTCCCCCCCCCCCCCCCC